GTGTTCATCCAGCTCTACACCTTGTTATCTCAGATTCTCCAGCATCTGCAGTTCCTACTATCCCTATGTTGAAGCTTTTTGTCCTGCACTTATCAGGTCATTCTGCAAGAATACCAATTTAAAGGGAAAGCCAACATTTGAACTGTGTAAGTGTCAGTTTTCCTTTAAAATTGTTATTCTTGCAATCTGTCCAGATGTGTGAAAGATGAAAATCTTTAGTACAATTGCCTTTTTTCAGCAATACTCATGTTCTGCGCTACCAAATGTCTTTTTTAATAGTAAGTTAATAACACCAGATACTGTGGATGCTGAAAATCTGAAATGAAATCAATAAAATAAGGTGGAAATACTTGACATATCAAGTAAGGTCTGTAAAGAGATTAAAAGAGTTAATATTTCAGAGTGATGACCATTCATCAGATTGGAACATCCTGAAATGTTATGGATAACGGGTTACTGCCACAGACGAAAGACAGGAAAGAGGATATCTCAGAAGGTAAAGTTGGCACGTGACTTAGAATGGAAAAAGAGGTGAAGGTGTCAGAGGAATAGACCCAGATGTCACTGAACTGAAATAAAACAGGAACTGCTGAGAAACTCAGCCAGTTTGGGAACATGTGTAGATAGAAACAGAGCCAATTCTTCAAGACCAATGACTCTTCGATAAAACTGAAGTAAAAGTTCTGTAGAAAAGTCATATTGAACTCAAAGGGTCAATGGTGTTTCTCCACAGATGTGGCCAGAATGCTGAGTATTTCAGGACGTACTGTTTTTATTTCAGATCTTCAGCATCTGCAGTATTTTGCATTTATCTCACTCTAAACTGGTTCTGGGCAGGCATTATAGACAACAATTTAACTGCAAATTTAATATTGTCATTGTTGATTCACTACTGCCTGCTCCCACAGGAAATTGGGACTGTTGATATAGCAATACCTTTGAGACCAGGCACTTTCATTCAGCAGTGATCCCTGGAAAGCATATTTTGTAGATTGCAAACCTAACTCTTGTGTATATATTATGAAGTCAGATACAGAATTGTGCCTCCTGCTGGCATTGAACATGTAGATGCCAAGTGACAGAGAGTTTGGTCAGGCATAAATAACAATGATCAGTTGTGGCTTGAAACTTGGCTCAACCTCCTTGCATGCATATAGCAGCCCTAGCTTTGGAGATGGCAGCAGATGCCTCAGAGGCTTGGTGGCAAATTTTGTCCATTTTCAGGTCTATACAAAGAATCACTCTGCACCTTAGCAGCCATCAAACAGCAATTGGGTACAAGGCTGTTCACTTCACTTCAAGCCAGCCAGTGGGTTTCCTATTCTTTCCCGATTGGAATGATGTGCAGAGTTACTGGGAAAAGTCAGGAGATTGACACTAAGTCAAAATGCTTAGAGTGCAAATGCAGACATGGTGGGCTGAATGGCCTCCCTCTGCAACAATTCTGTGACTCCATGATTTATTTTTGTTTGCCACTTCCTTTTTCAGGCTTGACAATGGCTACTAATGGGCTCACAAATCACAATTGCTTGTTCTTAAAGTTTTAGTCATTCATTTTTCTGTTACCCCAGTCATGAGTGTACTGCTTGCACTTTTCCTGAATGTGTACTGCTACGAAGGGGAGGTTGACACCTCTCTGATAATTAAAACTGAAAGAGAAGCTCGCCTCATCTCATAATCTGTTAAAGTAAGTGTGAAAAGTGGTATAACCTGCCTCTCAATTCCCCCCTCCAAATCTGTTATAAAGGAGTGGTTAAACAAAATAAAATCCTTTCACTCAGTCTGTAATCAACCAGTAAAATTTCATTTATCTAACTCTAACAGTAAAACAATTAACATAACTACTAACAAAATGAACAATTCCCCCCAACTACTAACTATTCCTAAATCAAACAAAATTCTAATGATATGCTGTTCCAATAAATACAAATCCCACTTATATAAACCAAAGTAATAAGAAAAGTAAATTAAAACATAGTCTTTCAAAATGATCCATACCCTCTTTACTGATCCTCAGTTAGGAATGCCTTTCTCTGTCAAATTCTTGTGTCAGGAATATTAGCTAAGAGTGCCGCTGTACCTTTCGATGATGGTTTTCTGAGAGCTTAGAGAATTCTGTGAGAGCCAATGATTCTTTCTTTTATAGCTGAGAGCTGTTCTCTTGGCAGATGACAGTTGACTCTCACACCGATTTTCTAATGCCCTCTTCTTTTATACCCTTGATCACCTATAAATTTCTTACAATAGGACTTGTTCTCGGTTGTCAAAACCATCAGATTTAAATCTAATTGGGTTTTGGTATCTAGAGCCTGGTTTAAATTAATTGGCTAAATTCAAAAACCTGTTGTCTTGGTAAAAATGCCACTTTGCCTGCTAGCAGTGTACAATGTTTATGCAGTGTTTCAATTTCAAGAACTTTCTGTGTACCTGCTGTTACCTGCAGGCATTTTTTTAAATCCCCAAGCCTAAAAAAAAAATCATCTTTTAAAGGGATCATGCACTATTTCCCCTATCATCTTACAAACATTAAATGCTCTACCCAACTTCTCAACTGTACCTGAAGATATATGAATTAGCGGATCTTAATTTTTTTATATAAGAAATAGTATATTTCCATTTGCGTATAAAATCCTCCATCTATTTTTTCAGGTGTAAACAACATCAGTAGTACAAAATCTAGGCGTTAGCATCTTGGCTTTCATATGAAAAATTGTCATTTTATCAGAAGTGTTGACTTCTGCTGAATCACACAACTACCTTTTCATGTGATTGGAACATTAAGCTTTGCAATATGTGCTGATCCAGTGTAGCATAAAATAACTCCTCCAAATTCAAAGTATGTACCTTTCTTGTTATGATCCTTCTGTGACTGCACGCCCATGTCGCAAGCAGAATAGATTTCATGCACGAGTCATTCAACATTAAAATATAAGAGATAATCAAGAACATACAAGTACGACAGATTTCGTGGAAGAGTAATTTTCTACAATACCAATTGTGAACTTCTGCAAGTGCAGAGAGATTGTTAGTGTAGGATAGCAAAATTTAACATCAGTCTACATTGTACCACCATTATTTTGATCTCCCTTCATTGTACTATATTGCATTTTGATATATGAATATATCAACCTAGATTCTTTCAATGACATATGCAATTTATTTAATAGAAGATCCCAGTTACTTCGGCTGGATCACCCTTCAACTCTCTATCCAAGCTATTGGGAAAATACATGGCTTCTGCTTGGAATTGCAACTGAATGCCTGGATGAAACTGGACACAATCGCTTAGGAAATTATTTGTGCACTAATCCACTGGCACAAACATAATTGGCTTGGCATCTCACCTTCCTCTGTGTCATTATGTAGTAATCATTTTAGTGCTTCAAGACAAACTGTATTAATGCAATTTGAACTTCTGGTCAGTGGCTTCCATTTATCACCTCTGATGGATGCCATTGGTCCTTTGATTCCTTATCTCAATTCAATTTCGTTGAAACTTATGCTTTTGTCATTGATCCAGCTAATTCTTTGAAGCCTGGGCCTTGTCTTTTTTCAATTCTCAAGTCCATTTGCTCCCAACTTTACAAAATTTTTAACATACTCCTAAAGATAAAAATGAAAAGTTGTCACACTGATCACCTTTGGACCCGGATTTATAATGAGATAGCTGTTGTCACCTGAGGCAGTATGAGAATGGATGAATCACATATTATGGCATAGACATTAGAACATTGAAGAAAGTGGCCCAACTAGCCAAAGTACATGTGCAGAGGTTCTCATGTAAAATGTCTGATTTAAACCATCACTCTTTAGCCCCTTTACTTCAACCACATATCTCAACTGTTCCTAGATATTTACATAGCCTTGGCTTCTACTCGCAAGTAGCCTTCTCTCTGGAAGGGAAC